GGGGTGTCAGCTTACTCCCATAAAGAGTGCTGGCAGAGGCCAAAATTCCTTTGATGAGCCCTCCCCACTCACAGAGCCATCAGGTGGGCGTCATATCTGAGACACTATCAACCTGGATCCACACTGTATGACCCACCCTGGTAATTCCCTGAGGCCCTGCCTCACCCAACTTTCAGGCCCACCCAAGCTACTTCCAGGGGCTTTTCCATGCAAATAGCCTGTTTTGGCTCCAGAGTTTCCTAAATCTTTTCAAACTTAAGATTTTCCGAAAATCTCTCAAATAAGCAACATCTGGTCTCAGGGAGGCCCCAGGCCCCACACTATCAGCAGCCAGCCTTGTTTCACACCCTGTCCTCCCCAGGGCACCTCCAAGCTCAGCATAAGTAGGCATCTACAGATTGCTTTGTAGCTCATGCCAGGTGGTACACAGATGGTGGCTGACCTTGGACTGCACTTTCCTAGAGGCCCCAGGGCCAGTGTACCAAGTGGACAGCTTCACACCACACTGTAGCACCACCACCCAAACACCTCTACAAACTACAAACTCAAGGGTCAGACTCAGCAGGAACCAGAGTCCTGCTTAAGTAACTCCTGCTCTGTGGGTGGGCCCCTGCACAGCTGATCCTCCACAGTGGTCAGAGGTCGGTGGTCAGTGGTAACAGTCAGTCCTTCCAGCTGGCCATTGTGGGGGTAAATCCCCCCCATTGACATGCTAACAGCAATCAAGGCTCAACTACAAGAGGATGGTGTACACAGCCCACACAGAGAGCATACCTTCTGAGTGCTCAGCTCTGGAGAATGGAGAGGCTGTGTCACTGAACCCTATAACACACCTACTACATTAGGCCATTCTACCAAGCCTGGGAGATGTAGCAGCTCTACTTAATATATAGAAATAAACACAGGGAGGCTGCCAAATTGAAGAGACAAAGAAAAATGGCCCAAATTAAAGAAGAGAACAAAACTCTAGAAACTAAACAAAATCAAGACAATCAATCTACAATGCAGAGATCAAAACACTGGGCACTCAAGAAACTTGAAGTGAGAACTTCATCAGCATAAAAAATGGAAACCATAATAAAAAGTCAGAAATGAAGAATAATTTACAGGGAATCAAAAGTAGAGTAGAAGAAGCCAAGGATCAAATCAGCAATACGGAATATAAGGAAGCAAAAAGTGCTCAGTCAGAAATGCAAAAAGAAAAATGAGTCCAAAAGAATGAAGACAGGGTAAGGAACCTCTGGGACAACTTCAGGAATACGAATACTTGCAACCTGGGTGATGCCTGAAGGAGAAGAGAGAGAGCAGAAAACCTATTGGAAAAAATGGTGACAGAAAACTTCCCCTACCTGGTAAAGAAAATAGATATACAAGTCCAGCAAGCGCAGAGAGTCCCAAACAAGAGGAACCCAAAGAGGCCCACACCAAAACACATCATAATTAAAATGCCAAAGGTTAAGGACAAAGACAGAACCTTAAAAGCAGCAAAAGAAAAGCAGTTAGTTACCTACAAGGGAGCTGCCATAATACTGTCAACTAATTTCTCAACAGGAACTTTGCAGGCCAGAAGAGATTGGCAAGAAATATTCAAAGTGATGAAAGCAGGGACCTACAACAAAGATTACTCTACCCAGCAAAGCTATCATTTAAAATTGATGGATATATAAAGAGCTTCTCATATAAGAAAAAGCTAAAGAGGTTCATCATCCCTAAATCAGTATTGCAATAAACGTTAAAGGGACTTCTTCAAGTAGAATAGAAAAGATCAAAAACATGAATAATATTGCAAAAATAAAATTCTCACTGACAAAGACAAATATTTAGTACAAAAAGCAGTGGACCAACCAACTATAAAGGTTAAAAGGCAAAAGTAGGAAGATAGTGTGTAATTACAATAAATTAAGGGATATGAACAAAAACACACTCACAAAATAAGTAAAAAATGACAAAAACCGGGAGATTAAAGATGACTGAGTGGAAGCTACACTGAAACTCTCCTGGGACCAAACTGGAATTACAACTAAAATATAGAAAAACCTGCCTGAAAACCAACTGAAGAACTGGAGAACACCCTCATAAACCAAAGAAGAAAAGTGGAGATGGTATAGAGACTAGTAGGAAGTATGGAGGCGCAAAGAGGGCTGGCTGGACTCCCACAGGCAGCAGCTGA